GGTCACGCAGTAGCGCACCCAGAATTTATCTTAGGGGTTGGGGGGTTTGAAAGTTTTTTATGCTACCTCTATTTTGAGTGCCTAAAATTTGGGTTTTAGTTTAATTTAAAGTACTACAAATAGCAGTACCAAAGATTCAGGTATCTATTATCCTGACTACCAACTAAAACCACCCTCTCTTACTTGTACGCAGTTGACTGTCGCACGTACCGTACTCCGAAAGGGGGGTGACCGCTGTAAGGCTGACGACATTTTTGGAACACTCCCTTCTCTTATCTAGAGCTTATCTATTGTTCTGAAGCTATTTTCTTGTGGAATTTTAAAGTAATTACTATTTTAATGGGAATAAGCCACAATTGAAGGTAAAAATAAGTTTATTGACGTTTGACATTAATCCAACTTGTAAATACAATACATTTTGGAGACGGCTATCGCCATATTTCCTTTCTCCTCCGCCAATCCTCCCAGTCCAAGGCATGCTACTCCTCCAAACCTCTCGCTTCCATCGTTTCTCTAATTCCTTCATTCCATGAGCGTCGAGGTCCAACTCTTTTTTTCTTCCAGGGGGCTTTTATTTGTGAAGCTTTTGGGGCCAACGTTCGTCAGGCATTCTCAATAGGTGTAAAAATCATTTTGAACCTCTTCTTTCTATTCTGTCAATGGCCGTTTCTGTAGCATCCATGTTAGTTCTTATAGATTCGTTGGTCTTCCTTTCCTGCCTTGATGTTCTAGCACTTTTTCTCAAATAATCCATTTCAACTGCCAATAATCTTCTATTCAGGTCTGCATTACTTGTCCATTCTTTAGAGCCATAACAAAGAACTGATTCAACTATGGTTTGCCCTATTATTTTTTTGTTCCTTTACTGAGTACTATTGTCTAAGTTCAGACATACAATTTTACGTCCCTGATTATTTCGGTATTTAATCTTGGTTTCTTTCAAGCCGTTATTAGCAATAAGTGTACCTAATATTTAAATTTTTCCACACTTGTTTAATTTTCACGTCCTCGTCTATCAACACTTCAAACCTTGCATCTGAATTGATAAATAAATATTATGTTTTCTTCATGCTGACTTGTAACTCCCATTTTACATATTCTCTGTATAGAAGCTTTATCATAAATTCTAGATCATAAGAATCTTGAGCTAGGACGACTTGGTCATCCGCAAAGCTCAAGGAGAACAGTACGTCATTTCCTATGGGGATTCTCATTCCCTGGCAGTGGTTTTTCCAATTTTGGAGGGCTGCCCCAATATATACATTAAACAGTAAGGGTAACATACTGCATACTTGTTTTAGTCCTTTAGTTACGTTTATTGGCTCTGATAGTCTATTTCCGATTTTTAGGTAAGTAGTGTTATCCCTGTATACTTCTTAAGTCGTGATTATTCCTAAAAGCTATGGACTAATGCCGAGTTGTCGTTAAGATTGCCACAATTTAAGTCTTGGAACTGTATCATACGCCTTTTCTAGGTCAATGAAGGCTAGATGTACTTCTGTGCCAACCGCTATTCTTTTTTCTTTTGTTGGAGTATAAACAAGTTATCAGTGCAAGATCAAAGACCAAAAATTCAAACGTCAATAATCTTATTTTAACCGTCAATTGCGACTTATTCCTATTAAAATAGTAATTAGATCTTATCTGTGTCGTTGGCCCGAATGATGTTTCTTTTCTTTTTCTTTCTTTTTAATGATTGCTCGGATGTAATTGTGAACACTATTCCATCCCTCCATACTTCCCGTCATCTTCACGATAATCTCTCTTACAGTCACAGGGTTCATACCTATTTCTTTATACATTCTGTTTCTCTCCACTGTACATCTATTACACTCCAGAATTGTGTGAGTACCAATGTCGGAATATTCACGGTATAGTCATTTATCTGTATCGGTCTTTCTGAACGTATAAAGATACTCCCTAAAACAGACAATCTACCCATTCCCTTAGGCTCAGGATCAGCATCTTAGTCCACTGAGCAACATCTTTCTTGTTGTTCCACTCTTCTTGCCATCTTTTCATTGATCTTTCCCTTTCTTCTTTTTTTTATAGCTGTTGTCAAATGCTCTCTTCTCTCATAGATATGTCTCTGTTCTACTGCTAACACATGCAGAGGAACACAACCCGTGATAGTCCACAAGGCCCCCGCAGATACAGTCCTGTAGGCGCATGCTACTCGCAACAGACTCGTTCTGTCTACTTTTTCATAAGCTTAATATTAGGTATCTATATCTAATTACAATGAAAAATATTATTAATTATTGTGTATTAATAATTGTGTATTTATACAATAATTATTGTGTTCTACATATTTAAAGTGGTAATTTAATTATTCAATTAGCGTTTTGGATTTTTTGTATTGTGTGTGAAAGACAAGTTACATTTTCCAACTATTCTTTATATATATTTTACTTTATATGCCCTGGGGGGGGGGGTTTGACTTCCAACCCCCCCCCGGGTGCGCCCATGATATCTTAGACACATAATGCGTGAACAAAATTACGGTATCTTACGACTCAGAATTCAAGGCAAAACAGGGGCAGAAAAAGTGTTTTCGTAATGCCGTAAGCCAAAAATATAAGTTGCTTGTAAAAAGTATCGTGTATAATAGGTAAAAAAAGGAATAAATAAGACTTACTCACAACCAGTTTAATTTAACTATCTAGACGATCGGTTTCTCTTTCTACAATTTACAAAGCATCTTCAGGTCAGTCGATACAAAGTTAATTAAATGCTGAAATAATAAACGTATAGGAAGATAAAGGCAAAGAGTATGATGCAGTCAACAAACATGTTTACCCTTTTAAGACTTTTTTACGTTTATTATCTCTAAGTAAATTGATATTAAAAGTTAAAAAGAAATGAGAATAATACTTACTCACAATCATTTTATTCTACCACCAAATGCACATATTTTACTGATGTTTTAAAATATATAAATATAAGTCATTTTCAGGTAATCTCTCTCTTGGTTCTCAGAGTTCGATGAGCCTTCTGCCTAGCGAGGCACATCTCAATGTACTACTTCTACACCCTCGTAGCTCCTTTTTGGGCCTCAGCTCTTTGTACTAAGTGCTACTTACCTTTTCAGTTGTCTTTATGGGCTTGTAGCCTTAGAAATAGACTCCTTTTGCTGATTCTGGTTATCTACCACAATTTATGTGTTTAGTTACTATCCAACCTTCCTTGGTCGGAGAATAAGTTGGACAATGGCTTGATGTCGGCATTCTCTTTGCAAGAATGAATATTTCGAATTAACTTCGAAAATACAACTTGGAATTAATAATAACTTGAATAACCTGTGGCAGTTTTTTGTCAGTTCTTCTATCAGGCGCGACGCCCTGAGAATGGGGGATGCTCGCTGGGTATTCGTAGCGCCAATGACCAGAGGGTACCAGAGATACCTGACGTGGAACAAAAACTGACTCCTGCGGTAGTTGTAAAATGCACACCCATGAGAATGGAGTTTAATCGTTTATGCTTAGGTTCGCTGGAATCCAAGTGTCTGAAGAACCAGTAGCAGACCAATACCGGATAATTATAACAAATAATCTTTTCCCAGAGACTAGACGCGATATGATAGGAAGCGAATTCGAACGGAAGATTCACAACCAAGAGCCAGTTGTAGATCAGGTCTCTAACAAAATCTCTAATGAGTAGATTCCTAAGCTTCTCAGAGAAAAAACTCAAGCTGGTAATACGCAGCAGAACAATACCGATTGCTCAATTGTCTGGTAGACGAGAAGGTACGTGCCGTACAAGAGTTTAGTGGAAGAAACCTATTTGGCAGATCTCTGATATCAAAAATAAACTCTTCGAAGAAACTAGGAGCGCTGTTAGAAATTGTGAATACTGAAGTCCTACCCAATTATGTTGTAGAAGCTCGCTCATATATTGGAATATTTGAGTATGCTGATTTACTGTGCAACAACAGCAATTGCTAATAATAATGCTATGGGCATTAAGATCAGAACAGAACACGACGGGATACTAATATCGGAAGGACTGGTAACAGAATTACACCCTGGGAAAAACGACGACTGAGGAAGATTGAATAATTGCGTACAGACATTGGATAAATAGCGGAATACATCTGAGGAGTAAGAAGCACAAAAATCATCAAGAGAGCTGAAGAAATATTGCTAAACACTCCAAGACGCTAACAACACGATCCAGAAAACAACACACCTTAACAATTCTTAGATACATTTAAAAAAAGCTCTCCGTTTATTCAGGCAGCCTAAGGAGATCTTAGTTAAGCTGGGAGAGCCCAGGGGGACTCGTTAAGTCTACTTTACTTTTGTCTAGCGATGACCATACTATCTCAGCTAATAAGCTTCACTGACTAAAGATTTAACATAAAAAATAATAATACTATTATGAGATGCTAAAAAATGTAGAAACTCTCTCAAATGATATCATGCACTTTATACTAGATAAATGCCGTATACTAAATACAGTCAGAGGAAAGGTTCAGCCCGGAGAGGCAATAAATAAAATAAAGTAACATTCGAGTTTGTACGAAGAGTAAGACAGCTAAATGGGTCATATCTTAATAGTAAAAATTTATTTACATCATTAAATACGTAGGTACGCCCATTCCGCGCTGAGCTACATCATCTATGTTAGGTGTGGCCAACTTAATCGGATTCGAGATCTACTTCTACTGTCTGCCTTTCTAATTCTTTCCGATCTACCAACTAGGAATTTTTTAACTATACTGGCGAGTAGAATATCTCAGAGTCACTCACTATATCTCAGAAAATCAATCACTGATTCTGAAAGACTATTTTATCAGCTTTCGAGATCCGAAAGAATTTTTAATCTGAGTAAAACCGATTCGGCTTCGAACGTTAAAATTGTGGATGGATTAGTTTTATTGCTCGCCATTGTGTAATAACTAAATAAAACAAAAGTACTAATTCTTATTTATTTATTTTTCCAACTATATTAAATTAGAAAAAAAAATGAATGTGAGAATTGCGTTTGAACAGTTTTTGCTAGGTTCTTAAAGTTTGGCCTGTAGTTGGAGATGGCCAGCCTTAAAGAATTCAAAGTATGAGCACAGTATAAATAACAACGAAACGAACGGAAAAAATGCTTACATATGTGTTACATCTTAATTATTTATTTTATTTACCTTCATTAATAGGACATCTTGGAATACATATGTTTTGGACTACTGCAGAATAAGTATGATCAAAAGTTGATGAGCCCTCCATTAAAGGAAAGTTTGTGGGAACTGCAGAAGGTTGTAATCGATTTCTCATATCATTCAGAAACATCTTATTGTCGAAATGAGTTCCACAAAGACGATGACTTTTATGTAAACGTTCTGTCTTATCCAATAAGTTTTCTCGTCCACATGCCATTAACCAAATTTTTGCCCTAAATACAAACATTTTTTTAATACAAGATGAAAATCCACCGTTAATAAATACTAACATCTTAACATCTGTAATACACAATTTTAATCCTAATTTAACACTCACCTATTAACATCTTTTGGAAACGAAAAAAAGCTAACATTACTTTTTCTAGAATTATTACAACACTTTGGAGCTGCACAAATGTGGCAAGGCTTTTTGTTTGTATTTTTGTACATATCGACGTACTTATACAACGTAATTGCGAAATAAAAAATGTATAAAGATTATTTGTATCTATAAATACACAAAAAGTAAACAAATACACAATGGCCACTGTATATACTATATTATTTATCTATGACAAGTGACAATGGCCAATGAGATCCGTCAAACTTTTCGGACACCAGAGAAAATGGCGTCGCTGTCTGGGCGAGTAAAATTGCGCGAACATCCGTCAATGTTTTCATTGCTTTTTGTTAAAGTCCAGGTTTCTGAACCATATGTTAGGAGTAGGCGTATTATTGTTTTGTAGAGTTTTACTTTTGTATTTCTTGATATAACTGTAGATTTAAAAAGGGGATTAAGCTAAAAAAAGCATCTATTAGCCGTCAAATTCTGAGATTTATCTCTGCGGTAGTGTCATTTTCAGTATTGACGAGCGTTCCCAGATATACAAATTCGTTAACTGCTTCGATGGCGTCATTTTCTATAACAAGTGGCCGTAATATTTGTGGTTGCGGACCTATTTTCATGTATTTCGTTTTATTAATGTTTATTATTAAACCCATTTTTGTAGCCGCTTACTTTCGTGCTAGGATTTGCACAGATTTGTTATATATTGAACCGGTAGTTGTGATTTGTGACGTACGTATTACTTTTTCCAGAGCTAGATTGAATAGTATACAGGAGAGTGGGTCTCCCTGACGTAGCCCGTTATTTGTATTAAAAGGATCAGAGAGTTCCCCTTGGATTCGTACTCTGCATTCAACTTTTTGAAGGGTTAGTTTGGTTAGACTTACCAACTGATTTGGTACTCCTAGGTCTATCATTGCTCTAAACAATTCTCTTCTATTTACAGAGTCGTAGGCTGCCTTGTAGTCTATAAATATGTGGTGCGTGTCTACACCGTATTCCAGTGTTTTCCCTAGAATTTGTCTCAGGGTGGAAATCTGATGAATTGTTCATTTACCACCTCTGAAATTAGCCTGGTATTATCCTATTATTCGCTCTGCATACGGTGCCATACGATGGCATAGTATATTGGAGAATATTTTATACGCTGCATTTAGGAGCGTAATTCCTCGATAGTTAGAGCATTCAAAGGTATCTCCCTTTTTGTATATGGTGCAAAGTATTCCAATATTCCAATCACTGGGAAGGGACTTCTGTATCCACATTTCTTTTATAAGCTGCTGTAGCGCTGTTATGATATCATGGCCACCTTCTTTATTCCGCTGGGAGATTATCTATTCCGGGTGATTTATTTCTGGCTAGTTTGTTTACAGCGTCTTTAACTTCCAGGATCGTTGGTGAATTCTCCTCCCTCTCGTCTGCCCCACTTACTTCACAGCTTTAGTCTTCCGGGTTTTCTTCTTCTTCCTCTATATTAAGTATCTGGTTAAAATATTTCGTCCATCGATTTAGTACGTCTGTTCTTGTTGTTAATAGTTCGCCATTCAAACTTCTACATTGATTTGTGTTTGCCTTGAATTCTTTTCTGTTGATGTTAACTTTCTTATAGAATGTTCTGAATTCTTTCTCTCTGTTGAGGTTTTTTATATATTGAAGTTCCTTTTTTAAGTGGTTTCGTTTGTTCATTCTGTGTATTTTCTTTTCTTCTCTTCTCTTTGTCTGGTAATTCTCTACACTTGTTCTAGTTCGGCGGGTAAGCATTTCTGCATAAGCTTAATTTTTTTTCTGTGTTGCATTCATCGTCAAACCAGTAATTTTTTTGGGTACAAGTTTTTGTTCCTATTTCATCTTGTGCTGCTGACTCAATATCTTCCTTTATCGTGTTCCAGTAAGAGTCTATATCTCACTGGTCTTCTTCGCTTGGACTTTGATTTCTTAACCTATTGGTAATATTTTCCCAGTACTGTTTTGCAGCAGTTGCATCTCTCAGCTTCTGTACATTCCATTTCTTTGTATCTATTTTTTTTCTTTGTTGGAATTTGAAATTCTAGCCCTTAGTTGAGATCACTAAACAGTGGTCTGAGTCTATGTTTGCACCTCTATATATTCTGCAGTTCATTATGTCCGTTCCGTGTCTTGAATCTATTAAGATGTGATCAATCTGACTAGTTGTTCTTCTATCAGGGGAGGTCCTGATTACCTTGTGTATATTCTTATGTTCAAAATAGGTGCTAGCGACGGTCATGTTCAGTGCTGCTGCTAAGTTTATCAGTCGTAATCCATTATCGCTACTGATGTTGTGTAGGCTATGCCTGCCTATAGTCGGCATAAAAACTCGCTCTCGTCCTATTCTTGCATTCATGTCACCTAGTACTATCTTGATGTCATTTCTGGGGCATTTTCTATAGGCTTGTTCTAGGTCTTCGAAAAACTGTTCTTTAATGTCTTCTAGTTTGTCGTCGGACGGGGCATGTGCATTAATTAAACGGTTATTAAAGAATTTACTTTTTAAGCGTAAATAGCACATTCTTTGACTATAGGCTTTAAAATCAATAACTAGGCCTTTTGTTATTTAGTTTACTATAAATCCAACTCCATCTATGTGTTGGTTTTCATTGTCGCTGTAATATATGGAGTGGGTTCTCTTGTCAAGAATGCCTGTTCCCCTCCATCGCATTTCCTGCAGTGCCAAAACATATTTCCCCGTGTGGGGTACGGGCCTCTTAAGTAGAATATCCCCACAGTGGACCTCCTGCTTGTCGTAAAAGCCGACTAAATGGAGAGGCGGGCATTTTCTTGTCCGGTCGCGGTTGCTAAACTTTGTAAAGCAGGCGCGGCGGGACAAGCCTATGACTGCTAAGGGAGGTGAGCGTGGTTGGGGACCGGAGTTGGCACGCCTTGTCCCCACCTACGGTCACCTACCCAAGACGAGAGCAGCCAATTCCAGCTGCTCAGCCATATACCGTCATAGGAGAAGCGGCTGTGTCGGTCATCTAGTTGACTCATTCGTGTCGGTCCTACCGGCATGCATGCGTGCGACTACCGCTGGGAGGAGTAAACCTCATGAAAAAATCCGCAATCTCCAGGTGTTAAGCGACCCGTGCCTATGGGATGAATGGCCTAGCGTCAGTTGGTCTCGAACGGAGCCCTCGGGGAGAATGGCATCTTCTCGTTGTATGATAGCCTTAGCGAGGTAAGGGCGCACTGCCTCGCTGGACGGATATTTTCGGCCCTACTCGTGGGACACATATGGATATAAATATAAATAAAGTAAATGATGTTGAAGGAGCGAGAGGTGAGGGCTCGGGAGTGTTCGCTCGGTCTGAGAAGATCGGGCGAACGCCCCCGCGGCCCAAGCGCGTGTGCGGTGAGAGTGCTGCGGGTGAGACCAGAAAAACTCCCGTTGGTATGGTAGGGGTCAGAGTAGAGAGGGTAAAAGGAGAGATTAGACCGAGTTCTGGGTCTGAAAGTTCTCCAGAGCCGGTCGATTTAGACGACGCGGGCAATAGTTCGGGCTGGTCCCAGGTGAGGGGCAAGAGAAAGAGGAGAGCGGAGTCGCCGAAATCGCCGGAGCATCCCCCTGTCAATCTCAATAAGGTTGAGAGGGAGATGTCCCGGTTAAAAGTAGAGTTGGAAGAGGTGTTGAGGTTGACGAAAGTCAACGTCAACACCAAAATGGAAATCAAGTCCGGTGTAAAAAAGATTAACACCCTGTTCTGCGGGTTGGAGAGGGAGATATCCCGTGCCGGGAAGCTCCTCTCTTTGGCCAGCAGACAAAGGAATAGTGAAAGAGAGGTACCAAGGAAGTGTGTGAGTTCGACGGGGATGCAGACGGACGCGTCTCTTGTCGGACGTGATAAAAGGAATGCAGGTGTACAGGCTACAATATCTGATGACCTGCGGATGAATGAGAATAGGGTGAACGAAATTCGAAAGAGTTGGGATGAGTGTAAGGGGGCAGACGAGATCATGGATCTAGTGAGTCAAGAATGGCCGGAGGGTCTTTTCGAGAGGACAAGTATGTGTGAGGGTAGTCTCCTTGAATCGGCTGGCGATGTGGCCGTTGCAATAACCACGGACACGGCAGATGCCGCCATGATCGGCAAGCTTCGGGAGAGATACCCGGAACTGCCGGGAGTGCCGGTAATTGGCGACGCCAGCGGAGGAGTAGGAACAATGTTCTCGAGGGTGGGAGTATTGAACGAGGATGGGCAAGAGGTGTGCACGGAAAAAATGCATATATAAGCTCATTCTTGGAAAGGGAGAGGATCCTATGGCAGTGAAGTTCCTGTCGGTATGTAAGTTGCTGGGGGAGAAAATGGAAAAGTGTGGGAGAACGAGTGTTGGACTTGCCGCTCCAGCTGCTCTGGGAACTGTGTCCAGAAAGCTTGCGGAGTGGGCGTTTAAAGACAGGAGCTTCAAGGTCGTAGTGATTGGAAAGAGTGGTAAAGAGGCGAGAGTGATTAAGCCCAAGGTGAAAAATGGAGTGGTGATTGTAGAGAAGACGAAGGACAAAACGTATGCCGAACTTCTAAAGGGGCTCAGGACGGGCCTGTGTGATAGAAGTGATATTATTATTAAGAGAGTGCGAAAGACAAAACAGCAAGGGGTAGTCCTTGAGCTGGAGGGCGGTAGTGAGGTGGTAGAAAGGGTCAGGGAAGTCGTCACCTCGATGCCCTCCTGCGTTGCGAAAGTGACGACCAGAGGTGGTACAGAGAGGAGAAAACTTCTCTTAATAGGTATGGATGCGGTAACGACAGCCGAGGACGTCGCTGACGCAATCCAGAGAGGTGCTGGCAGCAATTCGTCATGCGATGTGCTAGGAATCAGGCCTTCACGGAATGGCTTAAACGCCACTGTGGAAGTCGATGAGAATGTTGCGAATGTGTTGCTGAAAAAGGAACGATTGAAAGTTGGCTTTGTAGCATGCCTTGTAAGGGAGAAAGTGCCTATCCTGCGATGCTATAGGTGTCAAGCCTATGGGCATATCAGGAATGAATGTAAGGAACCAGAGCGCAAGGGATGCTGGGGGTGTGGCCAAGAAGGGCACATGCTCAGGGAATGCACGGCTAAGATAAAGTGTTGCATGAACTGCAATGTAAAA